CTGTTTGAGATCAAACATGAGAAAATTAGCAACTAAACTATACTCCGTCCAATGAGAGATACCAATCTCTCGTTGAACGGAGTCATTAAGTATAATTAATAATAGGTTCATTCGTACACTTGAACTTAAATAACGAATTATTTTCAATGTATAATAATACATTTCTGTTCGCAAATTCTTATACATATAAAAAATAAAAATTATAATATATTTGTGAAAATAAAGGAAACATGTTTACACATTAAATGGAAAAAAAAAAAAAAATATCTATCATGTTTTATGAATTTATATTCAAGACTGCAATATTATATAAATCAAATATTAATCGACATAAAATTTTAATTAAACAATAATAAAAAGAAATGATTTCAAGCGTGTTTACATTTTCTTTTATTTTCTGCATTAATATTATTTTGATTGTAAACGAGTTCAACATTCCTTAGTATTTGTAATTTCTTTTGTATGAAACTTAATAAAATTAGCCGAATGCACTTCTAAAAATTTTGCATTACACGAAGACGCAAGCTGCACAAGTTCTACGGCATTCTCAATCGTAAGACTGCGTAACAAATAATGTTCACATGTCAGTTTCAAAGCTAGTACATCATATTTATCAGCTGCTGTTAATAATTTTTTAAGCATGTCATAATCGCATTGCTTTACTGAGCCAGTTATAATATATAATAAAATCTGTTTAAAAGTTTGTAACTCGTTACTCGTTAATTCCTTTGTCATATTTTTTTCTCTTCCCTGCTCATGTGTACGGCAGATATTTTTAAAGTAGCTACTCTTACTGGCCCACAACAATTTTTTTGATACAAAATACTGTTCTCTTCCTACCACAAATTTGATTGATTCCTCATCTTTAGGTTCCTTGTCAAAGATCAAATTTTCAAAATATCTAGCGTCTTTTGAAAAAACTGTTGACGATGGTATTAAATTCATATGTGTAGTTTCATGTTCCAGCTCATGAAAATATTCCAACTTGCAATGTACTATAAGAGTATCTGAATAATGAATTCGAAAGTTAGATGTCGAGATTTCAAGTAACAATGTCTTATTTGATATACCACCCGTAATGAATCTTGATGTTAAAGTTCTTGCAGGCTGTAGCATTATAGTAGTGGTACATGAACCGTTAAATGTTTTACTAGTAAGTATACAAAATTTTAATACACATATTGTATCAGGTTGACGTAAAATATCTATTTGAATCATGTATTGACCTGTGTCTGGAAACGGTGGCGACTTTATCATACTCGTGATATTAGGAAGACACATAAATTGATCAATTTTCCATGTATGGTCAACTATAGTCGACTTAATCTGAGTTCGAGAACAGCTCTTTATATAGGAAGGTGACAATGGTAAAGACACTGTTTGCTCCTTTCCAGGTACAATCTCAGTACAGATATCCTCATCACTTTCTTCTTCACTGTCAGAAGTCTGGAAATAATTTATTTATGAATAATGAAAATAATCAACATTAAATAGTCCTAAAAGTGTCTATGCTTCTTAATAAAATAGACTGTATTTCAAACAATAATCTTAACATGTAATAATATGTTTATCATGTATAGAATGACATCCTACATTTAATATATCATTTTTAATAAGAATAACATTTTATAAACAGATAATCATAAAAAAGAATTAAATTAATAGCCAAGTTATAGAGGAAAACTTACAAAAATTATTAGTAAATTGCTTTCTTGTCTAAGTTTTATTAGAGTGGTAGACGATCTATGTGTAAAATTCTCATAAGAATTAAATTTGTTATTTCTAATTTTATACATCATGCACGTTAATATACATATGTATATAATATACATAATGTACATATATTCAATTTTTATAAATATAATTATACAATTCAAAAAATTTGATACATATATATATGTCAAAATAATATTCTGAATATTCCTTATATTACATATAAAGTTCTATCTTGAATTCCTATACAAGTAACAGATATCTGAGACAGACTTTTTGCATAAATAATTTTTAAACGCATTCAAATTACACATGAGAGTAGAAAACAGATTTGATATACGTGAATAAATGTTATGCATTTTCTTTGCTACGTAAAATGCATGGAATTGCTTCAGAAAATGTCGCGAATGTATTAATTCATTTATACATACTACAAAATCTTATGCGCTTTCTAATGTTTTAATAACACATAAAAGGCTGCTGTCTACTTGACGCTACAAATGCTTTGAAACGTTCTTTTTCTCCTTCTTTCTTTATTGAACGAAAGGAGAAGATGAATGCTTCGAAGCATTTGTAGCATCAAGTGGACCGCAGCCGTAGTCAAGTTGAAAAGAGAACTGTTAACAACTTACAACCTCCTCTTCCGTTTTACGTCTTATTCGCTTTTCCGTTGAATCTTGATCAGTCGAACCACGGACACCACGGTACGGTACTATGGTCCTTGTGGCCGGACCTATAATCTTACGTTTCCTTGCAACCGACATGCTTCGGTAATATTCCAACACCGTCCAGATGAAGAAATTATTAAACTAATACGTGTACAGACTTGTGGCAACTGACTCCTTTGATTAAGATTTCCTTTTGTCGAATCAAGTTTCCACACGCTACTGTAAACATGTGCTATATCAACAACTACATATGAGAAATAACTTATAACGAATGAACAAATGAACGTGGCTATTGCAGCGTTGCCAGACTCGGGCGCCGGCTAGGCTAATCCGGAACCGGAAGATAGATGGAGGTGTCACGCATCCTATTCGACCCGCCGCGAGTTCAAATCTGGCACCTCTGGGCCACTGACATCTTAATTGTTTTGTCAGTAGTGTTTAGAGACTTTATTCTATTTTTTGGTGTATTTCGAATTATACTGACAGTACTGAAAATCTATAGCAAACTTAATGTAAATTATATGGATTTTTAATACTATTAATACATTTCCCGAAATGCACGTTACATAAGCTACGCTCAGCAGAAAAATTAACTTATTGGTTTTTTAATATGATTAATTTACTTTAGGTAATATTTATTAAGTATCTTACGTTAACTCTTAAGATATATCCTTAAATAAGGAACTCCTCTCTACAATTAGATCTACGTGAAGAACTTTTATAACTTACGACTATTTTCACTGACAACGAAATTAAACTTCAAGATACTAAAGTTTTGCGCAGTCAACTTTTACTCTAATAATTAATGAGTGTCGACTTCCTCATTTATCCAATAATAACTGTTAATTGCGCATCGCTAAAACACTTGTTACTAATATTATGAACGAATATACGTTTGATGATTGGTATATCACGAACCTTCTTTATCATGTATAAAAAATACGTCAAATTTTTGCTTTACCTGGCTGATTTAACATTACATTTCAACAATATCATTGTTTGGAAATAAATTTCTTCTACCGAGTTTTCACTGTTTACACTTTGCCTTATCCTTTATTTTCGAATTACCTTCTCCCAAAGCAATAATATAAAGTTTTATTTCAAATTAAGCACAGAAACTTATAGATTAACGAGATATACTAAATTGACCAAAAGGATCATATTTGTTCCTTTTTTATTTTTAAAACAAATCTTTATAGATTTCGAAATAATGAGTTATCAAACTTAAATTTTTGTAGCCAATTTATAACTTTTATGAAGTATTTTCTTTCCACCTACAGATGATACATTTCTATTAAATCGAATATCTCTATACATAATTTATTCATTATATTTGCCTCTGAATTAATAAAAAAAATAAATGAACTGGTAGAAAAGTATTGGTAGGTATTGTTTGCTCTTCCGTTGAATTTTGATCAGTTAAACTTAACGTATCAGGTTTCTCTAACGACAGGCTTCGATAATATTCCAACACCGCGGCACCGTCCAGATGAAGAAATTATTAGCTTAAAGAACAGATGTAGCAACTGATCTCTTTTAATTCCTTTTACCTTTTCCTTTTACCAAATCAAGTTTCCAAGCTACTGTGAATATAACAAGATGTGTTGCGAAAAACAATGACAAATGCCAGTCACAAATGATGGCGGCCACTTCTCTCAGTTCTCTCGCTACAGAAGTACAGAGATGCCATTCATGTCAGATTTGAGCTTGTGCACCAGGCCCCGGCTCACTCGGGATACTCGGAAGATAGGTGGAGGGGGCACGCATCCTAAGAGTCACATACATGTATCACACGTACATAAGGTAAAAAGACCAATACCCGGACACTTAAGAATAGGGAGGGTAAATGTACCAATGCTTAGACAAGCACCTAATGTCTGAGACACCTTCAAAAAATATATAAATTTATGGAAATAAACATTTGTGGGGACTATAATTTTTTTTTTTAATTCGCTTATAAATAATAAAGGTGTCCAGATATAGATAAATGTTCGGATATTGGTACTTTTACCTTACATGGTTTTTTCTTTTAGAACGCATCTAACGGCTGAGCAGGCTGAGTCAGGCGCCACGATACAAATCTGACATCTCTGGGCTACTGATGCTTGGATCCTTTTGTCAAATAGCGTTTAAAGACCAGCTACTTATTCTTTTGTTGGCTGTATTCCGAAATGTGCTAACAGTACTGAAAAGCTATAGTATACGTAACATAAATTAGGTTACATTTAGCAGAAAAATTAGTTTAATGATTCTTTAATATGATTGATTTATTTTAAGTATCACTTAAGACTTAAGATATCTAGATGCAATGAGAAACTTAAAACTACATGAAGAACTTTTATAACTTATGACTATTTTTATAACGAGAATAACATAAAAATACTATAATTATCAAAGTTTTGCATAGTCAAGTTTTACCATAATAATTAATAAGTATCTCTTTTTCGACTTCCTCATGTATGCAATAACTGTTAATTGCATCTTTAAAATATGCTAGCAAATAATAAACGAACGAATAGATTCGATGACTGATATATCACGAACTTCTTCCATTATATGTATAAGATACATCATATAGGATACATAGAATACATCAATTAAAATCTCACTACCTGACAAATCAAACATTTCATTTCAACACTATTACTGTTTAGTAATATTAATTGCTTCTACCCGATTTCGTAATTCACACTTTATCTTTTGTTTTCAAATTACTTTCTCCTAAAGCGACAATTATATAAAAGTTTCATTTCGAATGTAGTGCAGAAACTAGATTAATAAAAGATACAAAATTAAAAAAATTTTTTTATTTTAAAAATAAATTAAATTTCGAAATAAGTTATCAAATTTAACTCAAATTTATGTAGCTGATCTCTAATTTGTGCGAACTTTCTTTTTCCATCGTCAGATGATTGGATCGTATATTTGTATTACATCGAATATATCCATACATAAATTGCTCAATATCATACATGCCTTTGAATAAGAAATAAAGATAAATAAACTGGTAGAAAAATAAACAAATAATAAAACATAAGTTATTAATTTTTTATCTACATATATTAAGCAATAATTATGAATTTGATTCTGTTTCAATTTTAATCACATTTTATTGAACTCAAATTAATGACAATATCGAAAACGTATAATTACGAAAAATACTGAAGAACAAAAATAAAGTTTGAATTTATAAAAAATTGACTCGTTAAAAAAAGTAGTTTCTAAAGACTCTGACATCATTAATATATACACAGGATGATCTACAGAACGATTGGAAATTTTAATAAGATATAGTAATTAAATTTAAAAATATTTATAGGTAACACAAGATTGTAAAGATTCATATTTTTTATTTCCTTTTGTTTTAGATCAACCTGTTTGAGATCAAACATGAGAAAATTAGTAACTAAACTATACTCCGTCCAATGAGAGATACTAATCTCTCGTTGGACGGAGTCATTAAGTATAATTAATAATAGGTTCATTCGTACACTTGAACTTAAATAACGAATTATTTTCAATGTATAATAATACTTTTCTGTTCGCAAATTCTTATACATATAAAAAATAAAAATTATAATATATTTGTGAAAATAAAGGAAACATGTTTACAGATTAAATGAGAAAAATATCTTTATCATGTTTTATAAATTTATATTTAAGATTGCAATATTATATAAATCGAATATTAATCGTTAAAAAATTTTAATTAGTTATCAACAATAATAAAAAGAAATGATTAATGTTGATTTCAAGCGTGTTTTACATTTTCCTTTACTTTCTGCATTAATTTTATCTTGATAGTGAACGAGTTCAATATTTTTTAGTATTTGTAATTTCTTTTGCATGACACTTGATAAAATTTGCCGAATGCACTTCTAAAAATTTTGCATTACACGAAGACGCAAGCTGCATAAGTTCTACGGCATTCTCAATCGTAAGACTGCGTAACAAATAATGTTTACATGTTAATTTCAAAGCTAGTACATCATATTTAGCAGCTGTAGGCAATAATTTTTTAAGCATGTCATATCACATTGTCTTATTGAGCCAGTTATAATATAATTAAATCTGTTAAAAAAATATTTCTACCTCATTATACGTTATTAATTCATTTCAGTCATATCTCTTTCTATCCCATCATGTATAAGGTAGACATTCTTAAAGTAACTACCGTTAATGAACAATTTTTTTTTTATGCAACATTTATTTTCTATCAACTGATTTTTTTTCTGAAGCCGTTTTATTTTTAGAGCAAAACTCATCAAAAGTCAAGTCTTCAAAATATGTCACGTTTTCTGAAACTTTATTTGAAGATGGTAGTGAATTCAAACGTATAGTTTTATTTATCAGATTACAAAAAAATTCGAACTTGCAATGAATTGTAAGCTCATCTCTATGTGACAGAAGTTTGTCCAAGTCTCTCTGGATTTCAATTAACAATGTGTTATTCGATATAGGACCTGATATGGATTTTGATGATAAAACTTTTCCAGATAATAGCGATATAGTAGTGGTACACAAAGCGTTAAATGTATTACTAGTAAGTATATAAAAGCATACTACATTATACGTCCCAGAGTAGTAACTAGTTCGAGGTAAAACTTTCATTTGAATCCGGTATTGACCAGTTTCTGGAAATGGTGGAGACACATATGTCATTGTCTTCACAGTATTATAAAGCCACATAAATTGATTAATTTTCCATGTATGGTCAAGTATACTATTCGTCTTAATCTGTGTTTGAGAACAGCTCTTAATATAGGAAGGTGATACTGTTTGCTTCTTTTCAGGTACAATCTCAGTACAGATATCTTCATCAATTTCTTCTTCACTGTCAGAACTGTCCAAAGTGTCAGAAGTCTGGAAATAATTTATTTATGAATAATGAAAATAATCAACATTAAATAGTCCTAAAAGTGTGTATTCTTCTTAATAAAATAGATTGTATTTCAAACAAATATCTTAACATGTAATAATATATTTATCATGTATAAAATCATTTGAAATCAGATTACACTGAAAAAGTAGAGGAGACATCTTATATTTAATATATCATTTTTAACAAGAATAACATTTTATGACAGACAATCATAAAAAAGAATTGAATTAATAGCCAAGTTGTAAAAGAAAACTTGCAAGAATTATTCATAAATTGCTTAATTTCTTGTCTAAGTTTTATTGTTAGTGTTACTATATAAAATTTTCATAAAAATTAAGGATATCTTTTTATTTCTAATTTTATATATCATAAACGTTAATGTACATATATTCAATTTTTATAAATATAATTATATAATTCAAAAAATTACAGATTTGATACGTGAATGTTTATAAAATTTTTTTTGCTACGTAGAATGCATGGAACTGCTTCAGAAAATGTCACGAATGTATTAATTCATTTTATATTCATTACTACAAAATCTTAAGGCTATTCTACAATTTCGTAAACTTAGGGTTGTAGGAGTAGAAGTAGTAGTAGTAGTGAATCTTGTACAACGGATCAATCTACAATAGAGTAACGATACATTGTAAACTTGATTAAAGCAACCAATCAGAGTGCAGTGTGTATTTCGAATGCACTCTGATTGGTTGGCTTTTACGTTCACATCTGGCATAGTCGTGAAAGATGAAGTTCAACCATCTTCCACAATACACTTTACAACCGCAGTACCGCTTTACAACCACGCCGTACATTACAACTACTTACGACCACGTTTACGCAATTGTAGAATAGCCTTTATGCGGTTTCTAATGTTTTAATAACACGTAAAAAGCTGCGGTCCACTTAACGCTACAAATGCTTTAAAGCGTTCTTCTTCTTCTTTTTTTATTGAAAGAAAAGAGAAGGGGAATGCTTCGAAACATTAGTAACATCAAGTGGGCCGCAGCCGTAGTCAACAAAGTTGAAAAGAGAACTGTTAACAACTTACACTTACATCCTCCTCTTCTATTTCACGTCTTATTCGCTTTTCCGTTGAATCTTGATCAGTTGCACCACTGTTTACTGTGGTCGAAGTCGAACCTAAGATCTATTCAATTTTTATAAATATAATTATATAATTCAAACAATTTGGCATATATATATCTATATATGTATGCATGCATG